TCCTTTATAAACATAGATGCAAAAATACTAAAAAAATTCACCATGATCAAATAAGCTTCACCCCAGAGATGCAGGATTTGAAAATCAGTAAATGTAACCCACCATATAAACAAACTGACAGAATAAAACCTACATAATCATCTCATTCTATGCAGAAAAGGCCTTTGACAAAATCCAAACCCCTTCATGATAAAAGTCCTAGAGAGATTAGGTACATAGGAACAGACCTAAACACAATAAAGGCAATGTATAGCAATCCTATAGCCTACATCAAATTAAATGGAGAGAAAGTCATAGCAATTCTCCTAAAATAAGGAACAAGATAAGGTTTTCCACTCTCTCCATATCTACTCAGTACAGTAGTTGAAGTTTTAGCTAGAACAATAAGACAACTGAAGGAGATCGGGATACAAATTGGAAAAGAAGTCAAAGCACCATTTTCAGATGATATGATAGTATACATAAATGACCCTAAAAAATTTCACCAGTGAACTCCTACAGATGTTCAGGTAGAAGCTCCACCTCATTCCCTCCTCCCCCATCTTCCTCCCCCCCCTCCAAACCTGCCCTGTTTCAGAAAACCCGCCAAAAGGTGGCTCCTCCACCAGAGATGCTCAAGACCACACCTATAGGGTATTAAAACTGCCTCCCAGAGAATGGCTATGGGTTTTTTGGTCTCTTCTCCCTGACTCCTCTCTGGAGGCCGAAAAATCATCTGGGAGCATTTTACATTTTAGTCATTAAACCTGTACTTTGAATTCTTATTTTTTTGTTGTTATTTATTTATTTATTTTTGCTTACTGTGTTAGCAGAGAGGCTTAATATCAGGGTATAGAAACCTTTAACTGATAAACATTTACAGAGAAGTGCCTGGACACAAGACTAAGTAAAAAAAAAAAGTAGCCTTCCTATGTACAAATGACAAATGGACTGAGAAAGAAATCAGAAAGAAGGAAATCAGAAATAATAAAACAACCCTCTTCACAATAGTCTCTAACATCTTAGGGTTTTTCTAACAAAGCAAGTGAATGACTTGTTTGATAAAAACTTCAGTTTTTTTTTAAGAAAAAAAATTGAAGAAGATATCAGAAGATGGAAAGATCTCCCATGCTCATGGGTTGGTAGGATCAACATAGTAAAAATGGCTATCCTACGAAAATAAACCTATAGATTCAATGCATTGTCCATCAAAATTCCAACACAATTCTGTTTAAATTTTTTTTTTTTAGTTTTTGAAACAGGGTTTCTCTGTGTAATAGCTCTAGCTGTCTTGAAACTCACTCTATTGATCAGGATGGCCTGGAACTCACAGTGATCTGCCTGCCTCTTCTTTCTGAGCACCAGGATTGAAGGCAAGTGCTACCATGCTTGGCTTCCAACACAATTCTCTACAAATTTTGAAAGGACAATTCTCAACTTCATATGGAAAAACAAAAACCTAGGATAGCTAAAACCTGAACAATAAAAGAACTTCTTCTGGAGGTATCACCATTCCTGCTTTCAAGCTATACTACAGATAATATACATATACATATACATATACATATACATATACATATACATATACATATATATATATATAATATATAAATATAAATAAAATCCTCATGGTATTGTCATTAAAACAGATATGTTGATCAATGGAATCTAATTGAAGCCACAGACAGAAAGCCACACACCAACATATCTAATTTTTGATAAAGAAGACAGACATATACACTGGGAAAAAAGGGAGCATCTTCAACAAATGTGCTGGTCAAACTGGATGTTGACTTGTAGAAGAATGCAATAGATCCATACTTATCACCATGTAAAACTTGAGCCCAAGTCGATCAAAGACCTCAACATAAAACCAGATACACTTAACCTGATAGAAGAGAAAGTGGAGAATAGCCTTGAACACATTGGCACAGGAGACAGCTTCCTGAACAGAACACCAATTTTCCAGGCAATAAGATCAACAAATAATAAATGGGACCTCATGAAACTGAAATTCTGTAAGGCAAAGGACAATGTCAATAGGACAAAGTGGAAGCCTACAGAATAGGAAAATATTTTTACCAACTCCATATCTGACCCAAAATATATAAAGAACTCAAGAGACTTGATATTAAAACATTAAATAATCCAGTTAAACAGAATTCTCAATAGAGGAATCTTAAGTGGCTGAGCACTTAAATGTTCAACATCCTTAGCCATCATAGAATGCAAATCAAAATGACTTTGAGATTCCATATTACACTTGCCACAATGGCTAAGATCAATAACACAAGTGATAGTTCATGCTGGTAAGGATGTTGAGCAAGGAGAACACTCCTCCATTGCTGGTGGGAGTGTAAACTTGCACAGCTACTATGGAAATCAATATGGGGATTCTTCAGAAAGTTGAGAATCAATCTACATCAAGACCCAGCTTGTAGCCAGGCAAGGCTTCCATTGGTGGGACTGGGCTGTGTTCAGCTGAGTTGCTGGCCAAGGGAGTCCCATGGAAATTCCCAAATAACCTAGGTTGTTGCCAAGACAAAAGGATGTTCTCTATAAACTCACATCGGGCCCTGTTGCTGAGGACAACACCCACAGGACTCATTGAACATGAAGAAGTTGAGCTGGTGCCTATATGAAGCTTTTACCCAGTGTTCTAGTCTCTTTGTTGAGGGAAGGCACTCTGCAGGCTACTGAAATAGAAACATGGACATCAACCTAGCAACAAAATCTTTGACCTACAATCTGTCCGACTTGCACAAAATGCTAGGGCAATGATGGCACAGAATTTGTAGGGGAAGTCAACCAATATCTGATTTGACCTAAGGCCCACTCTATGGGAAGGAACCCACACTCAACACTTCTTGGGCCACCAAGAACTAGAGACTAGATTGCCCAGAGACCTGGGATAAAACCAAGCACTGCTGGTCCAAAAAAAAAAAAATCAATAAAGTGATTCCTAATGATATTCTGCTATACTCTGCTATATATTGGTGTCTTATCTAGTCATCATCAGAGAGACTTCCTCCAGCAGCAGATGGGAGCAGATGCAGAGATCCACAGCTAGACATTATGAGGAGACAGAGTCTAAGTTGGAGGTCTCCATCAAATCCCTCCCCTCAGAGCTCAGGGAATCCTGTGCAAAAGAAGGTGGAAAGAGTGTAAGAGTCAGAGGAGACAGAGGACATGAGAACAAGGCCCTCTGAACCAGCTAAGCAGAGACTGAGATGGTAAACAAAGGCCTTCATGGGTCTGTACCAGGTCCCGTGCTTTGTTATTGCTATTACCGTTGTAGATTTAATGGGACTCCTGACTGAAAACAAGTGGGTCTCTGACTCTTGTGCCTGCCCTTGAGACTCTTTCCCCTTGTTGGGTTGCTGTGTCCAACTTTGATAAGATAGTTTCTTCTTCATCTTATTGTATTTATTTTGTCATGTTTGGTTTTTGTATCTTAAAAGACTTTTCTAATGAGAGACAGAAAGGGAGTGGATCCAAAGCAGAGGGGAGGTGGGGGAAGAACTGGGAGTAATGGAGGGAGGGAAACTATAGTCAGGATATATTGTATCAGAACAGAATCTATTTTCAATAAAACAAACAAACAAAAAAATAGGAAAAAATACCATCTGTTAAGAACAATATATTTAACACAGTCACAAAACTCCAAATGAAACATTAGTCATTTTACTTGTTTTTAAACTTCTTTGTACAACACAAAAGGATGGTGTTGGAATTACATGATTTAATGAGATTGACATTAAAGAGGGGTTAAAAGAAATTGAGGGGCTCATTAAACCAGTACCACACCAGACCTCTTTAAATCCCCAGTCCACCCCACAGAGACATGTGGGTGTCCTCTATATCAGCACAGGGAATTTCCCGTCTCCACATTTGTTTCTCAGGGCAACATTTCAACAAATAGTTTAAATATTTAGAGGCATGTTATGTAGAGCTAGTACAATACATTTGTATAAAGCCCAAGCAGAAAACGGACTTGACTGCAATCCCAGTCCTTGTGCAGGAGGCAGAGGCAGAGGGAGAAGGGTCAGTGGTTCGAGTTTATTCTCAGCTACATAATAAGTCCTGGCTACACAAAACCCTGTCTAACAAAACAACAACAACAAAACTGAAAACCAAAATTAACACTATGTAATCAACCAAAAGTCCAGGTCACCTGTTGAATATTTAAAGAAGGTACAAAGAGTAGATAACTTGAAGGGTGGAAGGGAACCAGTGTAGGATTTTGTTTCATTCACTTCACTCTGATTACAGCACAAGATGTGCCCAAAATAATGACCAATGCCAGGAAATGTGATAAAATCCCATCAGTTACAAGAGGGGCTGCAACACTGATGTTTGTGAAAGGTAATGCAATGTGGAGAAATAGTTATGCTAGAAAGGGACACACAAGTAAAACGTAAATTTAAAAAAGTATGACGTTAATGACCTGAAGTCCAGAATATAAGAAAGGATATGTACATTTATTTAACTGTAACATATTGCAGGATATTCTATAAACCCACAGTTATGGGCAGCTGGCCTGAAGATGCCCTTTCTAACCAGATGAAAAGTATACTCAAATCCTGCTGATAAAAATACCAAACCACATGGAATTCCATGGATTCATTGAAAGGAAAAGAAAAAAGACGCAGACCTGGCAACAATTTATTTACCTTTAATACTAGCACTAAACAGGAGCACAGCTGCTTTCTGTGGAGATAAATTACCACCATTATTTCAGTAGCTGTGGAAAGTCAATCCTGGTTTACAAACAGAAGCAAAATAGCACTGCAAACTGAATGGACTAAGAAAAAGGACAAGCCTTAAACAATTAGAAAAAATACTTTCCATAAAACGACTCCCTCTATGATGTTTGCTTTGTGCGTTTAAGTTAGCTTTCCTCTACCCCAACCAAAGAGGCTAACCCTCCTGATACTGTCTACCAGAGCATCCACTGGTTTGTTCATCAATACCGTCAGAAGCTGAGTTTTTCAGTGATTTTCTTTGGCTGCCTTTTCTGATCACTGATTTTCAATGCGTTCTTGGCTAAGCCGTTCCAGGTCTTTCTTCACGTTGGGGTGGTCTTCCAAATCTTCGTAGAGTGAGGAGACAATGTCCAGTCTTTTGTAGTTCTCGGGGCTGACTAGGCTTCGCACAACTTGAAGGCACCGCTCTTTCAGGGTGTATACTGGCAGTGTGATGTTGGCAAAGGCAGGCCGCCCGTCAACACTGAGAGATGGCACAAATAACTCAGTTTGGTTAACCAGGAGTCTGTCGTTTGTCCTGGCGTCCCTGAAGAGCCAAGGGTGACCTCGGTAGCTGTTGATTCTGAGGCTGGCTCCTGGCAGCAGCGTCTGGAAGGGCTGTGGTTCGCCTTGGAAGTCAAGCCACAGGGGCTGCGCCACGCGCGGGCTGCGGTTCCAGACCACTACACGGGAAAGGTCGCGCGGGTTTACTCTCACTGAGCGCAGCTCGGGTGGCGCCCGCCCTGCAGCCATGGGTTTCCTGAGGTCTTCCGGGTCCAGCTTCAAGGCGAAGTCAGCTCTGGAATCCCGCAGCCCAGGACTCCCCAGAGGAGGACTCAGCAGCCGCCGCCACAGTGCATCCGAAGTTCTTCACGTCTCTACTCTTTGTTGCCCTGACCGGTTCTTCGGGTCCCTGCCCATCGCTCCAGGAAGCGTGGGCTGGGAAGGTGCAGGTCACTCTGCCTACTGGCTTTCAGTTAGGTAGATTTAATCTTAGAGGTGACTTGGGACCTTGCCAGAACACACAGAGAGAACTTAGCGCTCTCTCTCTCTCTCTCTCTCTCTCTCTCTCTCTCTCTCTCTCTCT